GGACCCTCTCTCGGCTGGTATGGGCATGTTCGTCGAGAGCTGCCGAGGTTGGCCGACCTGGCCATCTTTGAAGGCTTTACTAACTAATATTTCAAGCATTCTGGTCTGTGTATCGTTGTTACTTCGTATTGCTTCTAGCAAATCATTCATCTTTTGACCAATTGACTGCTCGACCTGACGATACTGCTCATCAAGTCGTCTCCGAAGAAACGACCTAGTTGGTGGATCAGAGCCTTCTCCACCATCGTCGTCGCAATCTTCCACTATCCCCTCCACAAACATGGGTGTCGTTTGATTCGGGATCGCCGCGTTGTGAGGTTGCTCGCCGAGACAGATCTCATTTTCTCGGCGTGTCACACTTGTAGCCTCGGGTGGCATAGCAATGATCGGATTTTTTGCTGGGTGCGAATCCTGCCCAAGGCCTTGCACTGGTAAGTCAGCTGTTGACTTTCCCATGGTTGTTTTCTTCTTGGTAGACCGTGTCTCAACGGTCATGAACTCCGAAGGTTTAGCACAATGGTCCCACTGGGCGTGCCAAAATGTTGCCTACAAAAATTACAAAACCTACGTGGCACGCAGGCTGAGTAACTAATGAGCTAACTACGTCCTTCGGTTGAATGCGGGGCGTGCCAACTCGTCGGCCGAGCTCGGCCGAGGAGTAAAATGTGATGTCGCGTTGGGTGCGCTGTTGACTTCTGTATCTTGCGATTGCGACCGAGGAAGGAAAGCTCTCGGCCTCTGAGTTCTATAGCCTGAAGACAAGGCTACTAATTCTACGGAGTTCACAAGTCGTCGGACCCTGATTCGGTCACTGTGATTATATTCGTAAGAGTATAAGCATGCCTAATCGAGACCAAACTGTATGGGCACAGGTACTCGAATGTGATGTATGTCTTGATGGTAAACGTAGTTCGGTCGTCGGAATGCCGAACCCTGAAGCTTACTTGCGAGTATCCAATCATAAAACCACTCGGCGTCCAATGCGCCGAGCAATGCAATTCGTAACACCCAACTATGCCGGAAAGGCTTAGTAGGATGACCTCTACCAACAAGAGTTCGAAAACCCTTCTCGGCCGAGACTTAGATAGATAATCGGTCGACCTCGACGCAGTGCTGTTTATCCAAACTGAAGGTGCTCCTCGGTCGGCGGATTCTGCGGCAGCAGTGCTGTTTATCCAAACTGAAGATGCTCGCCGGGTGCCTCCATAGTGCTGTTTATCCAAACTGAAGATGTGTTGGCAGGAAAGGAAAAGGAAAAAATCTCAAGATGTTTGAGAGGTTTTGCGCAGGGCAATTGTGTGCTGATTCTGAAGGCCTTTTCTATTGCGTAATTTCTTGTATTTATAGCACCTCATTCCCTGAAACCCATTCGGATTTGGATTGGGAGTCCTTGTCCCATTTTACCTCTAGCTTGAACAATCCTACCTCCTCTGGGACTCTGAATTCTCCTCCTTTTGAGGCTTTATTTCTTGCTGGTCGAGAATCCTGGTCGCACCAGGACTTCCTCGATCCCTCTACTCATCTGGACCTCTTAGGATAGGATTCGGCCGACCTTGCCAGCTGGCCTGGGTTTTATTATTCGGCCCATAGTATTTGTCATTACCTTGGGCCGAGCACATCCTGCTGCTCGGCCCAATCATAATATTTTGGGCCCAAACAATAAGACAAAAAATAATATGAATATAGAATATTAACATGATTTAACCGTAACCGTACAAATAGAAAATGATGGAAAGAACACTCAAACAAGAGGGCAGACAATGTATCTCCTTTCATTTCAGTGCGGGTCTTCATCTCAACCCTGGTCCTATTGATTCCCACTACCATTCCGAAATGAGTAAGGCCACCTGGATCATACAACCACAATCCGCTTCGACTTGGGATGGTTACCCAAAAGGGTCTTAAACAGGTCAGACTGAAGTACTAATAAGAGTATGTGATCCTAAACAAGTTCTTTAGAGCACTAGCACTAAATATTTGTTTTTTCAGTAACTTCGACGGTAATTGATAAGTTAATGGGATATATTTAATATAATATTTTTTGGTGTATATTTTTCACAGATGATATAGTGATGATAGATAAAACGTATAAGAGAGTAAATGTCAAGCTTATCCTTTGGGGGTTGTATTGGAATCCAAGGGTTTCATCTACGTAGGTCAAAGACAGAGTATATAGAGTACAAGTTTAATGAGAATTGGGGGTTCAAAACAGATAGGGGTAAGGATTGGGGATCAGAAAGTATAAAGAGTGAACGCTTTCGTTATCTTGAATCTATCTTACCAAATAACTGAAAATTTGATGAAGATCTCAACCATAGAATATAAGCCGGATGAATGAAGTGGAAGAGTACATCAAGTGTATCGTGCGGCTTTCTTATGCCAATAATGCTCAAGGAAATTTTTTGTAGGACTACAATTAGGCCATCAATGCTTTGTGGCAAGGAATGTTAGGCGATCAAGCATCAAAATGTGCTAAAAATAAGTGTAGCGGAGATTAGAATACTTCGTTGATGTGAGGGCACACGAGAAATGATAGGATTAAGGACGATGATATCCAAGGTAAAGTCGCAATTGAAGATAAGATAAGAGAAAATAGGTTAAGGTGGTTTGAACATGTGAAATAGAGACCTACAAATGCTCAAGTTAAAAAATGTGATTTTAAAATAGAGGCTCGGGGCAAAAGGATAGATGAAGGCGTAGGAAGACAGGCAGAAACTTTAAGAAAAGACACGGATCACTTAGAGCTAATAAAGGATTTGGTGCAAAACCGAGCGTAATAGCGCTATATAATTCTCAACTAGCCCCACTTAGTGGGATAGGGTTTTATTGTTTTTATTGTTGTAACTCCGATGGTAGGAGATAGGCATTATTCATTAATTGAAGAAAAAACATGAGTTAGACGTAATACTTCGTCCCAATTACATATGTTATTTAACATAGCGTCATGAATAATATTAAATGACTCTTCAAGCCATTTCAAACGGAGTTTGTTAGTTAAGGAGAATCTTGTCATCTGATGTGTCCCATCTCATAATGCGTCGCAACAAAATCTACCACTTCATTGGTTGATCTTGAAACCCAAGACCAGATGCAAGCTCGGAAAGATTTATTCATGAGTTATACAGTGCTAGACTTGGAGAAGTTTTTTCTTGTGACGAGAACACATGTGGTACATCACGTTTTTATAGAAGTGGTGGAAATTTTTATTTTTTAAGTTATTAACATTTTAACACACATATTCCACTAGTTGTATAGTAACACGTGATATACAATCTCGTGTACCAATCACACTAAAAAATCACTTCTTGACTTGAACGTGATAATGAAAATCATGGGTGCATGTGGATTACCGAGGACCAAAATCCAACAATCTCGGCAAGATTTAATGTTGGTTGGTTGGTCGGTCATATATAAATATGACTCGGGAATCCTGATGCATCATTCAATTGAATCATCTTCATATCTAACTATTCCATTCCCTGCAAATTGTTCATTATTTGTTTGACTTCAAATTAAAATGTTGGAACACCCATTGTCCCACATCGGCCAAGAGGGAAGAGATAAACACTTTAAATAGAATTACTTCACTCTAACTAACATCAAGGCCTTTTGTGATAAAACTCCACACTTGAAGATTGTGCAGGTGGTTAAGTGGGGACAATATCAGTATTGTTGAAGTGGGCCCTCGGCCCGTCGACCTTGAAAAATTCTACATAAAAACAAAAGTTGAAAATGTTGGTGTTTTTGGTGAAAATGTTTCCAAGAAGTGCTTTTAGAGAAAATGTACATCCAAATGAGCCCTATATTTTTATAAATGGCAATTAACTCAAAACAAATATATCTTATGTCGCATTCATATGAGTCTTATTTGAAACATCCTCAACCAAGTAGAGACTAAATATTACTTGATCAACTCAGTCGTAAGCAAAGATTAACTAAAACTAGGTCGTAAGCAAAGATTAACTAAAACTAAGAACCACGGGTCATAAGGCTCACTTCAAATTTCATTTCTATCAATGCATTTCCAATTTTTGAAGTTTTGAATTTTTTTTTTTAATATATTGACCCTCATCAAAACTATAATTTTTTTTTTATCAAAAACTTTTATGCAAAACTTATGTAGCCTTCACATGTAAGAAGCCATTATTATTTGCAAACAAGTTTAACATATGTGCAATTTATTTTTCTTAATAAATTATATATATATACAGTTATTAGTACTTAAAAAATCTTATTCTACACTCTTTACGAGTGTATTTTACTTTCTAATTATATAAAACTTAGAGTGAAAAATGAGATTTTTAAAATGTTAATAACAATTTCTTATATATATATATATAATTCAAACTATAATTTATAGATAAATAGAATCCTCTCTTTAGATTTGCAAGTGTCCATTTTATGAGCATCAAGTATTAACTGTGTGAGCTCATACCAACCCCAAATTCTAGAAGTTGTTTGACTGATGTGAATTTTTATGTTTTTTCTTCCATATGAAAACAGTGTTACTACCGAGGTGTTCCATCTGCTCTCTTGATTCCGGACAAAAAGGCCTGGATAAAAGAAACACACTCTGAAAAAGAAGAAATAAGGCTTATCAGGTTGGACAAAATTTGCTTGAGATGTTAACTTCTTTTCAGATGAAGCCTGCTTACATCAAACCGTGTGGGCGCAAAGCAGGCACTAAAGAGTGTCAGTTCTTGTAATTTACTCGAATTTTCACTTTCGTCTCTGTAGTTTTTGTTGCTGATCATTTTCGTGGCTTCGCAGTTTCGTTTCGTTTTCACTTTAGTTCAATCCGTCGATTACGTTGATTCTTCCATTCAATTTGATACAAATCTTCTCTTTTGAAAGACCCAGTTGGGAGGAACCTTGGCTCGTTTGACGGATTGGACTTACACATGTAACTGAACGAAACTACAAGGACTAAAGTGCACCAGAAAAACCTTAAAGAATGAGAGTATAAATCCGAGTAAACTAGAAGGATATTAATGCAATTTAGCCAAATAAAAATACCTCATTAAAACCACCATTGAAAAAACTTATGCACATACATCAAACTCTGATTCGTGAATGACTCCTTACAATAATGAGCCAAAAGCATTGCAGCTAGCCATTTATTTTTTCCATTTTGTTTGGTCACAACTCACAACTAGCTTTCTCTTGAGAAACGAAAGATACCCAATTCATACTCCACGTTACCCAAAAATGGAGTGCTTTCATTACAATGTGGCATCTTGCGCAAAAGCATTAAGTTGCAGACAGTGACATCCTGCACTATAATCTTCTGCACACACACATCACTGCAGCATTACTCCTCCCTGGACCAGTCCCCACTCTTCCCACCAGTTTTACTCTCGAGTCGAATATCCGTGATCTGTATAGATTTCGAAGCAGCCTTGCACATATCATACACTGTTAGCCCAGCAACACTCACTGCTGTCATTGCTTCCATTTCAACCCCTGTTTTCCCTGTTGAACTGGCTTCCGCTTCAATGTCCACGCTGAAATCCTGCGGATTTAGTGACAGATTAACGCTAACATGGGTCAGTGGTATGTTGTGGCATAGTGGGATGAGATTACTTGTGTGCTTTGCTCCACTTATTCCAGCAATTTTCGCCACGCTAAGGACGTCACCCTTGGCCATCTGGTTAGCTACAACCAAATCAAACACCTGCTTTCCAAGAATTACCTTGCCGCTAGAAATGGCAGTTCTCTTACTGCTTTGTTTGGGAGAAACATCCACCATTTGCGCTTCCCCTGTACTGCCAATGTGAGTTAGGACAAGTTCGTTTTCGCCTCTTCTTGAGGTGCTAGTTGAGGTTCTTGAGCCATAGAATCGTTATTTGGAAAACTTGGGGGTCCACTTGCTGGATGTTCACCAAATACCGATTCCATTTCCTGAAACCAGGATATTGTTAATACATGGAATTATGTTGCAAGATGCCTTATGAATTTCTTCAAAAGAGAGTTTTCGACATAAGGTATCGAGTAGAACAACCACGAAATACTTCTCGAGATCAATAAGAAAGCTCAAATTGAAGTTCTGCATATAAGATAAATTTTATGGCTGTGGATTCTATTTTCCAATCCCCATTCTCTGCCACCGTAAGCGTAATTGGTTGAATCTAATAGCAAAGCGAAAAAGGAAGGCAGTTCATTTTCGTAACTCAGCATTCGTAAATAAGAAGCATACACAATACATTACCTTATTAAGCTCAGCAATAGTTCTTGCAAGATCATTGTTACCGCTGTTACTACTAAAAAACCTTCTCGAACGGAAAGATGATACCGCGAGCCTCTGAAGAAACATTTCCGGTACAACTCGACTTTAAATTTCAGCTGCAAGTACTGGAACAATATCAAACTCTATTTGGCCCTTCAACAATGTAGAAAGACAAAAACATACTCACATTAGTTGCCTAACGTTTTGGAAGACATTAAACTTCATTTGAATGCAACATTTTTGCTACAAATATGAATGATTGAGTGAGAGAGATGCATAAATTATAAAACCCAGTTCTCGGTCAGGCAATTCATCAAACACGTTATGGTCATCAGGTTAAAAACCACGGAAATCGGGAATTCACACGGAAAAAACAACTTAAGATCTGTGTTCATTAGAAGTGAAAAGAAAGTGCGAGGAAATTATATTTAGCCACGCTTAACGCGTCGTGTCTACAGCTCTGCGCATTAACATGGAGCCATGTAGTAAAAGCACGCACGTACCTGAGAGGAAGAGAAAGCAGCGATTGGCCAAGAACACGGTCTTTGCTGGGTTTGCTTCGCATTTTTCTTGAGGGCTTTGCCAAATGGGCATCACGAAAAGGCCCAAGGGAAGCCAATTATTAATCCTTTCAGGCCCAAATTTTTTTTTCTTTCTTTTTGTGATGTTATCGGCACTCCCAAATGTCTTTTTTTTTTTTTTTTTTTTTTTAATATCGAAAGTTTGGAGTGATAATAATAATGAGCTTTTTATATTAACACCCCACAAAATATTGAATACACCCTACATTAAAATTTAATATTAAATAACTTATTTACCCTACTATGCAATGACAATTTTGACCTTATTAGGTTTAAAAAAAAATGTATATATATATATATATATATCTATATACACCCCAAATTACTTTTAACGTATTATTTATTTTCTTCAACCATCAAAACTCCTCTGACCCTCCATTGTTGAACAAAATCCTAATCAATGAAACTACAAATATGTTGATTGAAAAAAATTATTTTTGACAAATGAAACACAGAATCGATATTTCGGAAGCTTCACATGAGATAAGACTTCATATTTTTTTATTGTTTTAGTGATTTTGACGACATCTATAATTATTTAATCTTGCTTTTGATGTGTTATTCTAGCTTCTATGTTTGTATTCATCTTTTAGGGATAACAGAGATTGCATGAAAAATTAGCACCAAATATTAAAAACATACGACATGGTGTCACATCCTAGTCCAACCATAGCAAGATATTGTCCGCTTTGGGCCACGCCCTCACATTTTTGTTCTTGGGCTTCCACCCAAAACGCGTCATGCTAGGAAGAGATAGGCATGTACATATAAGGCCAGAGACCAACCCTCATCCCACTGATGTGGGATCTTACAATCCACCCCTCTTAGGGACTTGACGCCCTCATCGGCATACTCCAATGAATGGTGAGTCTGGCTCTGATACCAAATTGTCACATCCCAGTCCCGCCGTAGCAAGATATTGTCTGCTTTGGACCACGCCCTCACGGTTTTGTTCTTGGGCTTCCACCCAAAATGAGTCATGCTAGGAAGAGATGGGCATGTACATATAAGGCTAGAGACCAACCCTCACCCGACCGATGTGGGATCTTACACATGGATTTTAATGGTGGAATTAAAAACAACCCACATATGCTTTAAATCTCAAGCAGCATCTTTTGTCAAAATTCCAGTCGGCATTTTTTGTCCAAATTAAAAGCTTTATAAGATTTGAGAAATGTGGGGTGTATAGAAAATATGGGGTGCATGCAAAAAATGTAAGGTGCATATAAAGAATGTGGGGTGTGAGGGTATTATGGAGAAGTATGTGAGGTGTATTAAGATAATTTTTAATTGAAAAAGCAAATGTAGGGTGTATACCGTGTATTAAGTATGTAGAGTTTATTCAACAATTTGTGGGGCGTTAATATAATAAGCCTAATAATACTCTTTTTTTATTTTTTTTTATTTTTTTTTACAATAATAAAATATTTACAAATATACTTTTACAATAAATGTTCATCCACTCACAACAAACCATAATACCCACAATTTCGTGTGAAGACCACTGAAAATACATGTTTTTTCCTATGTGAAACTTGAACCACTAAAAATAGAGCAGTGCTATCTACCCAACTCTTATCACCTTTCATATATATTAATTAATTTAGGTCTTTTAATCATTTTCAATTTATTTGATTCAACGACCGAAAATTGATAGTATGTAAAAAATAAAAAGAAGCGTGTGGATAGTACCACCCACGGATGAACGCATAATGAGAGTAGGTTGAGTGTTGTGTTATTCCAAAAAAATTCTTACAATTGTAAGAAAACTTTAATTCAGCGAAGAATTTAAGAGTTCTAATCAATTGCTGAAAAATAGAGGAGGCATGTATGGGAATTTTATTAAACTACATTACTTAGGTATCAAAAATCAACTACTTCATGGATTGTAGGTAGACCTGGCAATTTCTTACACGACCCGTTAACACGACACGTAAACGACACGAAAATAACGGGTTTCGGATCAACACGATAACTAATCGGGTCATTATTGTGTCACACGATAATAACCCGTTAATAACAGGTCCTTAACAGATTTACACGACAGTGACATGCGGATAACCTGTTTCCACACAATAAGAAAAAAGTTATTGTGATGATTTTAATTTTTTAAACTACTAAAAAAAACTTACTATAAAATACAATAGATATAATGAATATGTATATATTGTTTATTAATTATTATTCTATATAGATTTTAAATTTTAAGTTTTATTTATTTATTCATTTTATAGTATATTATAGGTAAATATTGAGATTAAAAATCATAAAACGCATTAAAAATAAAAATATCAAGTAATTTAAAAATACCAAACACATTAAAAAATTATAATAATTAATTTACATGTGCGAAAAATATGAAAAAAAATATGCAAACGTTTGTAGTCGCATCCTCTACACTTTGAGAATGGGTATATAATCGTTTGAATTTTTTAAAAACATACAAACTCTCATGAATAGTATTTTTAAGGGAGTTCAAAATAAACAAAATTCATAATCATTAATGTATAAGTATGAAAGATGTGAAAGCATAATTAACGTTCATAATTGTATCCTCAACACTTAGACGATGGTTATATTGTCGTTTAGATTTCTAAAACCCTCCAAATCTCATGAACAATGTTTTTTATTTGAGTGCAAAATTAATAATAATTATTGTAGAAATGTGAAAAATGTAATCACTCGTAATAAAAAGCTTTACAACTTTCACGAAAGGGTCAACTTTGAAATTTAATATGTATATACTAATTTAGTATTATGTTTTACATTTTTTTGGGTCAAATTATGTTTTTCATTTTCATTTTATTGATTTAAAAGATATTTTTCTTAACGGGAAACGGGTCGGGTCATATTACCTGATAATATTAACTGGTTGATTTCGGGTCGAGTCATATTACCCATTTACTTTAACGGGTATTGCATGACACGACCCGTTAAGCTATTAGATGTGACACGAACACGAGAAACATGACACGAATGCCAAGTCTAATTGTAGGAAAAAAAACAATTTTGAGAGATAATTTCCAAGAAATCTGGCATACGTGACGCTTTTTTTCTTTTATCATGAAGTTTTGTCTCACGTAATTTTATTTGAAAATGTTGATGTTGCATATGGCTAAATTGTTGATGTTTTTGCTTCTTTATTGTAATTTATGCCCCGTGAGAGTAATCAGATAATATGTGTTTCTTACATGGAGGTAGATTCTTTGTACTCTTACTTTTCGTGTCCTTCAGTGTTTTTCTGTTTATTTGGTCACGGTTAAACCATGTTAACATTTTATATTACTATTCATTTTTTTCTTATTATTTTTATAAAAAAATAATATAAAATATTAATGTGACTTGACCGTAACCACACAAAATAGGAGAACACTAGAAGTGGGAGGGCAGAGAATCTGCCTCATTAAATATACAGCAAAAGTTGTTGATATTCATGTTTGGGTACGGATAGTATGTGGCTATTATTTGTACGATCTTTTGCTGACTAATAAAGTAGTCTATTAAATAATGTATGAATATTTCAAATGCAGTTATTTATAATAATAAAAAAAAATTCTCCAATACAATCAAATTTTCCTTAAAAAAAATTGATTTTGTTGCAATCCTATTGGAATAGAAATGTGATTGTGTAAATCCTAGTTGATATGAAAATATATCTTATATTCCTATTAGGAGTATATTACCTATTAAATGTTGTAATCCTAAAGGGTAAGGAATTAACCTTCCATACTACTATAAATAAAGGCACAAAAATGTGGAATAACACACATCCACAATTACACATCTCTCTCCTTCTCTCTTTACGCCGCACCCTCTCTCTCTTTTTGGCCTCCATAATTGTTCAGTAAATTATGCTACAACACGTTATCAACACGCTCTTGATGCTGCGCTAAAGAGAGTTTGATTTTCCATCAATGGAGCATTACGTTTTAATTATTCTTTTTTATGATTAATTTATTATTTTGAATTGATCTACATGCTATTGATTCAATTTAATTTTTATGTGTTGAACGTGATACAACGCATTGGAGATGCAATTCCGGCTTTCCAAGGAGGATCTTCTACAAATTCAAAGGATTTTATTGTTTTCTGCCAATCAGATACGCTTAAAATAAAGTAAGATATTTGAAACGATCTTGAAGCATGAAAACATTCCCCATGATGCATGAACTCCCCCTATGTTTATATTTTCCTTCCGATATATATATATATATATATATATATATATATTGTATATGTTTATATATTTGTTTCATGCATTACGCATATATGCTCTGCGGAATTGTGAGTCAAAGAATCAAAACAAATTAGAAGCAATTGGGGTTTTTGAAACCCTAGAAATTTCAAAAGAAAAACAAGGTTACGGGAATTTTTTGGCTAAGGCCACGTCCTGGGTTTTTGACTTGCTGGATCCACATACTTGGGTTCCACACGATTGGGCCTGCAGCCTCAATCCATACCTTGACCTATCTCACCAAAAGCTAGCCTTGCTAAGCTTCTTGGCCCAAAACTCAAAGCCAGCGTGTTGGGCTTCATCCATGCCGAGCCGCACCAAGCTAGCAACTTGTGCCAGCATCACGGACTGGGTTTGTGAAAGTTGCTAGGCTCTTGCCATCCCCTCAAGCAACATACCAGCATGTGCTGGGTTCTTCCCATCCCCTCGGCCCAATCTGTAACAAGCTTACAGTTTGCACTACAGCGAATTGGGTCGCTTTGCAGCCGTTTCCCCAAGGCCCAACAGGCCTGCAGCCTTGTCCCATGTACTATAGCCAACCTAAATATGTTAAGCTGTGTCTCTTTTTTGACCCGACGCCATATTTTGGCATCCCCCACTTCTTAACCATACCCAAATTTTTTTGGGACATTTTTGGTTAATGCTAATTAAGTTATAATTCACTTGTCAC